TTAGGCTGACTACTTCAACAGACCTGAATATTACACAGCTATTGTGTTTAAATTCTGTGTAGCAGATGTTAATTTTCAGGTTTGAGTGAAGCTGTCATGCTTTATAATTATAACCTCCATTAAATATACTTCTGGATTTGCAATTTTTTTTTTTTTTTTTTTTTTTTTGAGCAGTCATGTACTTAACCAATGGCTCCACTCATATTTCTTAAAAGGTTTCTGGAAAGATTTTCAGTAATGAACTGGTTTTTTTCCACTGTTACCCATCTCCAAGGTCAGAACACTGGTCTGACACCCTCAGTGAATTTGCTGATAACACCAAGCTGTGCGGTGGAGATATGCTGGTGCAAAGGGACTGCCATAGTGACCTTGGCAGGTTTAAAAGGTTATCCTGTGTGAAGCTCACAATGTTTAACAAAGCAAAGTGCAAGGTCCTGTGCCTGAGTCGTGGCAATCCCAGACACACCTATGGGCTGGGCAGAGAAGTGGCTGAGAGCCACCCTGCAGAGAGGGACTTGGGGATGATGGCTAAAGAAAAACTCAACACGAGCTGGCAGCGTGTGCTCACAGCCCAGAAAGTCAGTGGTGTCCTGGGCTGCATCAAAAGCAGTGTGGCCAGTGGGTCAAGGCAGATGATTCTCCTCCTGTATTCTGCTCTCCTGAGATCCCTCCTGGAGTACTGTGTACAGTTCTGATGTCCCCAGCCTAAGGATATGGAACTGTTCTGGAGCAAGTCTAGAAGGCCACAAAGTCGACAGGAGGACTGGAGCACCTCCCCTGGGAAGAGAGTCTGAAAAAGTTGGGGCTGTTCAGTCTGGAGAAGGTTGTGTCTAGATCTCATGGCAACCTTCCAGTATCTGAAGGGGACCAACTGGGAAGATGTAGAGGGTCTCTAGTTTAGGAACTGTACAGATAGTAGAACGGGGTTGTACAGGGGAAATTTAGGTTAGATAGTAGGAAGACATTTTTCAGTGTGAGGGTGGTAAGACACAGGAACAGGTTGCCTCACAGGTTGTGGACAGCCCAACACTGGCAGTGTTCAAAGCCAAATTGAAGAAAGGCTCAGGCAACCTGGTTTAGTGGAGGTGTCCCTGCCCATGTCAGGCGTGGTTGAGACAAGATGTTTTTTAGCTTACATTCCAATCTCTTAACATTATGACTCTATTATTCTTCTTTTAGTATAATGAAATCTGTCTCCTTATACCAATACATTTTATTTTCCTGTCATAACTTCACATTCAATTTTATGATAGAAGAAATGATGAATTTAGGTAAGTGTAAGGCAAAATATTTTCTATTGTCTGTGAAGAGTCTCCGGTATAGTCAAGTCTTCAGTGTACTATTCTTATGATTCTGAAGGGTTTTTTTTGTTTTGTTGGGGTTTTTTTGTGAAGGAGTTAAACATTTATGCTATGCAAGAAACCTCAGTAAGACACTACAAATCACAGTAGTGTTACAACAAAGGACTACTCAGGGCTATTTTGTATTTTATTCACAAAAAAGGAGAATGAAAATAATATCTATTCCTATATGGGCAAAGTCTGATTCGTGCACAATCCCCTGAAAATAATATATAATAAGGATTATTATTCCTTATAAACCCCTTCTTACATGCACCAAAACTGTTTCTATTCATCTGGTTGGTCAGTAAGTTCTGCTGTACCATCTGGGAACTTGTCATACCAGATCACGGCTTGTTTTCCAAATGTTGCATACAGAAGTTGCAAATAGCATTGTGTAGTACCTTTAGTTATTGGTAACATATTCTAGTCCTCTAAAATACATATTAAGGTAGTGATTCACTGTTCATAGTGTTGGGTTGTTTTTTCTAATTGCTTCTCTCTCTATTTTATTATTATGTATGTTATAGAAATGAGTTTGTGAGAATTCAGTCATTACTTACTAACACTTTCTACATGGCCGTATCAAACTCCTTTTTAAGAGCATGTGTATTCTTATACTTCAGAAATAGAGTTGGTTTTTTTTATATCATGTCTTAAACATGAAAGACTGAACCTAACCTTAAAATACTGGGGGTTTTTTCATTCCATTAAAGCCTTTTCAGAATAAACTATATAACCAGCATTACTTATAATTGCTGAGAAAACAGAAACTATTTTTAAGTTTTTTAAAAACAATTTTTTATGTTTTCACATTACCAGCAATAAAAACTGCAAGTCTTAGGCATCATTTTTTCTTCATTTTTATATGGTATGTGACATGATTGATAATAAAATGTCACCAAGAATGATGTTTCCTTGATTAACACTAATATAAAGTTTAGGTAATATGAAGACATTATCAATTAATGGTGTATCAATTCTATTCTTTGTGCATTTTTGCCCTGTCTGTTCAACAGCTTTGGAAGACTGGAAGGCTTTGAGCCAGCAATGTTGTGGAAGTGTAACTTTCCTCTTTATCTTGCTAACTTGAAACAAATATATCAACATGTGTTTAAAAATGCATATGGAGGATTGAAAACTGATGAAAATAAGCAGTGTAGAGTTCATGCCACATAATCCTTGCTTTTTTGACAGATCACATTGTTTTTTTTTGATGGCCAAAAATAATGCTGTGAAGAGTCTGATCAATAAGGTTTGCAGTAAATAGTTTTTGAAGATGCTGTGAAAAATGAAAACACAAAAGAGAGTTCTCATAAAATATATCAGCTGCCAAAATTAAAGTGGATACATTATTCAGTACAGAAAATCTGATTTTATTTTCCTTTGCTTTGGCTTTTCAGTTTAAGAACTTGTGGAAAGTTTAACACGTTGAAACACTTAGAATGGAAAAGAAACTGTATTTAAGATTGGTAAAACTAAAATGGTGTTTCAGTATCATATACTAACTATGAGTTCTGAGAAAAGCAAATCTGCTTTGCTGGTAGTGAAATTAAAATCACCTAGTTCCCTTGTTTAGATTCCCTGAGTGACTTTGAACCTAGGCTTGGGGCTAGATGCACTCCTAACATCTATGGTACAAGAACTGATTAGGTTTTTCCTGTGGTGTTGATGCCTGTAATGATGCCCTACCCTGCAGGGTTCCTGGTGTCCAGTGTGGCTTGACATAATGTTTAGCCTTTATTTCTGCAAATACAGTGAACAAGGTCACTCTATATTAGTTACTCAAGCCTTTTGTGATACCATAAAATATAACATATTTTAAATTTCCTATATTTTTGTAAATTTTGGTCAAAATTCACCTTGCTAAAAATTTATTAGAAGAAATAAAGTATAAGGTAATTTTCTTATAAAAACACCTGAAAGTAAATGCAGCAAAAAAGTGAAAAGGAACAAGGTGCAGGAGGAAAGAGAAAATTTTATTGCAAGCACGTGGCATAATAAGGAAACATGGATAAATTAGTTAAGCAAAATGCTTAAATGTAAAGAAAAGTTTTCCATAATTTTATTATCCTCTTTTAGTTACGCTTTTCTGGACATTTTTGTCTTCAACAAAAATGAAAATGCCTAGCAATAACTTATCACCTTGCATTTGGATGCTATACAGTATAATGAATGCAGCCTTGTTTTGTAACAATATAGAAAAAAAATATCTCCTGATGTTCAAGAAATGACTTCTTTGTTTGGAGTAGTATAGAATGATTACCCCATAAAATATTTTTAATATTTTTAGAACACAGCCTGTCAGAGAAAAAAAACCAAAAAGCAAACAAACAAAAAAAACCAAGATAAAAACCAGGAAAAATTGTAAAAAAACCACAAATAACAACTGTACACCTTTTCCCAGGAAAGTGTATGTGCCAAGCACAAATTACTATTCTTTATTGTAGCTCACATTTATTTATACTTCACTATAACTTAAAACATAGAAATTATGCCTTATCATTAAACAGAAAACCAATTTCTTTTTCTTTCTGCCAAACCCAGTAGGTTTAAGGAATTTATAGGTCAAGTGTCAACTACTGTCAAATCTAAACAATGTTTCAGAAATAAAATGATCTTGAAGAGAAACAAAATAATTTATTCTGTCAAGATGTAGTTTCAGGATTGACTTTCTGCCATAAATGTTTATATATCGATCTATGGAAACTTTTTGCACAACTCCTGTTCACAATTATTACCAGAATACAGCAAAATAATCTTGAGAGTATTTTAGGACAATTTTTTGGTTGCTACTTGCTAATTTTGCTACTATGACTTTATACTGTTAGATTGTTTTTTTAATGAATGCTCCAAGTTTAGATATTTCTTTGTCACACTTAACCATCTTTTATCTTTGCTTGAAATACTGAGGTTTTCATAGAATCTCACAGAATCACACCATGGAAGAGACCTCTGGTGATCATCTGGTCTATCCCTTCATCATGCAGGTCTGCCTAGAGTCAGTTGTTACCCAGGACCATATGCAGATAAATTTTGAATAACTCTAGTTATTGATGAAGACTCCAGAAATCCCCTGGACAACCTGTGCTGTCACTCACAGTAAATGTTCCCTGGTATTTATTTGAGACATTTGTGCCTGTTGCCTCCTGTACTGTCACCGAGCAGCACTGAAATGAGCCTGGCTCGTCCTCTCCCACCCTCTCTTCAGGTATTTATAGCCATTGATGAGTTCCCCCCTAAGCCTTCTCTAGGCTAAACCATCCCAGATCAAGGTACGTCTGCCTTTCACACTGGGCTACATGGACACTTGTGACAACAGATGTTCCATGCCTAAACCTTAATCTGCCCTCATTCAGATGTCTGTAGCTATCCATCCATAATAGCATCAGCATTACTAAATTTTCACAAGTAATACAAAGAAACTTAAAACCATAAAATTTTGATCCAATACAAGGAGCATTTTTCATCACATTTTATCAAAATTAGCCAATGCCTTTACAATGTCCTGTACCAAGCAGTACTTGCATATAAAAGTTGTTAAAATCAATAAGTGCAATGTAACATAATCCTACATCTGTTAGAAACAAATTGAGATCTGATAAGAGCTTCAAACTTAAGACTGGGGATATAAAGACAGCTGCTTTCTGTAGCTGATATTAGGTTTTCTTTCTTTTAATTCTTATAGGTAGAAGAAACAATCATTCCAGAAAAAGAAGGTAAGCACTAACTGTAAAACATAGATATTGAATTACTGTGTTTACAAAGGAAATAAAGGATGCAATATTTCTGGTTTACTCCTCTTAGGAGATGTAAGGGATGTAGCGAGTAAGAGAATTAGTCTTTGTGATGAAATTTGAATATGCATTCCACCTTCTCACAATGGTATATTTGTAGAAAGAGAAAATACATTTTCATTAGACATATTAGTACGTTTGGATGGAGACTTCAGGTATGAAGTGTCATCCACTATCACTGTGAAAGCTTTCTCTGCAAGGCTGCTTCTCAATCTGTTCATCCCTAGCCTCTACTAATACTGCCCTGGCCCAGCCACAGAACCTTGCACTTGGTCATGTTGAACCACATGAGATTCCTTTGAACCTGTCCAGGTCTCTCTGGATGGTATTCCATCCTTCAGGTGTGTCAACTGAATTGCTCAGCTAGATGGCATCTGTGACTTTGCTGAGAGTGAACACAATCTGTTTATGTCATTAATTATGATATTAGGTAACACTGATCCCAGTCTGATGAGAGAGGAGCATGCTGTGGGGGTCAGTTTCAAAGGCTTTACAGAAGTCCAGATAAATTATATCTGTACCCTTCTCTTGTTCACTGGCATTGTCACTATATCATCAAGGCTGTTTCTCAAAAATAGGGGGTGAGAGTTGAGGAGAAGTAGGTGTGTTATGTAAGGCTGTGTACTGGATTTGTCTGGGATAGGGGAGCCTGTGTGGGACTGAGCTGCCTACCATGGTTAAACAACAGCAAGTTACTAAAACTACATGGATAGCAAGACAGAATTTAGTAGGTAGCTTAAAAACCCAAGGCTAATTTGTACTTTTGGAGCTTCAACACCTGTTTAATCCTTGTTGGACACAGATCAAATTACAATGAGTTTTTAAACTTCAAGTACTCTGGGAAGATTTTGACCTTTAGTATAGTGTGATAATGCACACTTACCCACTGCAATTCCAAGTTTAAAATTGCCTTTAATATTTACCATCTTCACAGCATAAGAATTAAGGGGGTTTATTTGATATTATATAAATGATTACATTTCTATTGTACACATCTTTGGGAAATGATGTTTATACAAAGATATTGGATAGATTAATAAATCCTCATATGTTTGAATTAAAAATGGTTGGGTTGCTAGCCAATACAGCAGAGTTTATAAAACAGCTGAAGTTAATGGCAAAAAAGACCTACAAAGCCATCTAGCACAGTCTGTTGTCTGAGTTATGTGTAGCGTCATTACAATGAGGGTCAAATGATGGTCATGGTATTTCCCTTGGGTGGCCTTTTTCACAATCCAATCAATTTAATCATTCAGAACCTGTGTGTGAAATCTAATTTTCAAATGTAAAACTTCTCCCAACATGGGATAATTTTGATCAGTTAAGAAAAATACATTTCAATACTTTTCACCAGGTAGTTTGGCTTCAACAAGAACTGAAGCACTTAAGGGCTGATTTGTAGTGTGTTTTCCATGTCTCGCAGCCCAACTAAACTCCTCATAGTTTTAAGGGGTTTATTTCCTCTTAAATTTCCACAGATATCTTTTCCTTAATCTTCCTTATCTTTAAGGAACCTTAAAGCTTTATCTTTTATCTTTAAGGAACCTTAACCTTTCCTTATCTTTAATCTATTAGCAGCTGGATGTGTCTTTGCCCTTGAAAATTGCTTGAAGAAATTAATATAGAAAGAAAGTTTGGTGAATTTACCACAAGTAATCAATTTGCCAAGACCATTCTCTCTATTGACATTTTTAATCAATATTGTTAAAATTTATTTTAGAGAGAAGGACATAAAGGTTTTCAAAATCTTTAAAATAATATATTTTAAAATAATTTCAAAACTTTTAAAAATATATTTTGTGTTGACTCTTTTTCAGAAGTTCAGTGTTATGTTACCTATGAGAAATGAGTTAGTGAAATTAGATTGCTTGGTTTCTTTATCCAAAATGCAAGGAGAACAGCAAATGAGAAGAACTTATAGATGGAAAATAAGTGACATAATATCATTAAAAGGTTTATTTTTCTGCTTCTAAAATTTGATTTGGCCAAAGGTAATACTACATCCTGTGCATTTTTGTCTGTTTTTATTGTTTTCAACTCTGTTATTGTTTATGTTAGAAAGCTTTATTGACTTTTGGTTTAATTTCATAGTATTTTCATATAATTTTTGATATTATAATTATGTTCTGAATTTTTTTAATCAGTGTATCACTGGGGAAGAAAAGACAGAAAGATAGTTCAATGCTTCTCAAATTTGATAATGCCATATGATCTAGGATTTTATTCATAAACCCCAGTCTGTGTTACCCACTCTCTCTGTAAGTGAGCTGTGCAGAGGAACAGACTTGGAAATTCAAGAAGAGTTTAGCTATTTGCGATTATAACTTTTGAAGTTTTGATCTTGGAGTTTGATCAATTCTTTTTTTTTTTTTTTTTTTGTCAGAGGCAGACTGAAGTATGCAAGAAGTAAATTCCATTTTGTTGGAACTAGTTCAGAAATTTTAAAAAGATAGGAAATATTGTATTTCTGAGACATTCTAATTTTATGGATTTAGAATTTCTTTTATTCTTTTCCTTTTGCATAAGGCTCTTCCATTACACCATGAAGCAAAAATTGAGCACAAGAGAAGTAACCTTTGAAATAAATAATTCCATCTTATCTGGCATATTAAAGTGTAACATCTGTTATGTTCAGAACTACTTTAGACATCCTGAGACGTCCCTCTTTGTGTGTATTTATTGTCTGTAAAGACTGGCAAGCACTACTAGTCTAGATCTAGATGGCTAAGTTGGGCAAATTTTGTCCAAGAAATCTTTGAAATAAAAATCTTTAAGCATGTTCTTCTATACCCAGCCTTCATCCATGATCCCAGCCAAAAGTGTCAATTTCCCAAAATTTAGGCTTGTGAATCAGAAGTCCTCGTCTCGTACTGCTTACTTATGTAAAAAGTGACATTTCACCACTCATTTCACCAGTTCTGTACTGGTGACTGAGAAAAGAAATCAACAAGCAGCAGATGCAAGGAAACAGGTGACTATTTTTTAATTAAATGTATATATGATTAATATATGGAAGTATAATAATATAAATATTCTTCATTATGTATTACTAAATTAAAGTCAGGGTATTCCCCACAATTGCTTAGGGATAATTAATTGGTTTATGTTTTATGCAGGTAGAAAGGTAAGTATTTGCAGTGGATTAAAATATGATTACAAATAATGCTCCTAAAATTACTTATCTTAAAAAGTGTGCATTTTTAAAACAATTGCCATTCAGTACATCACATAAGAACCTTCCACTTTCAGGCTGCAAATATGTTGTAGATGCACAGCTGAAAATTAATAACTGGAGTACTCTGCATGACTTTTTCTCCCCCCAAAGAATCCACGTTATGTACATAATTGTGCAGTATAGCAGATAGCCATGGACTCAGTGCCTGCAAAGAAATGAACTCCACTTCTATGAACTTGGAGAATATTACTTCAAAGCAGCTTCTAGCAGAGAGCATCATGCTGCCAGTCATTAAAAATTAACTTCAAGTGACTCACAGGTGCTGTGTAGAAATGAATTTCATTCTATAGAAATAAATTGATCCGTATTCCACAGAGGACAAATACAGAACGTGAATAAGTCATTGCCAATCCTAACATTTCACTTCACTGCATTCATAGCTGCAATTCACCTGCTTCTTCTCTACTTATGCATCATTTATGTGGTATTTATTTCAATCAGTTGGGGAGTTATAGCTTCATTACTGCATTCCTATTCTACATCTGAGAAATACGATATGCCTTAATTTGAGAAAAAAACCCCATTAGTACATAGTTTTTATTTTGTGCTCCATACCTTTGTTATTCACAGTAAGGAATTACCCACTGAAGCAGACAAGTAAAGCAATCTGGATTTGCTTTATAATAAATTGTATCATATTATGCCCAGAGGCCAGAGTAGAAAGAGTTTGTTCAATAATAAGGTTGGTTCATTAAACATTAGAGTATTGTGTTTTCTCCCAGAGTTACATGCTGATTTCATATAGAGTAATAGTGTTTGCTTCTGTAAGTACATGTTCCTACAGGCAGGGATTTAGCATTTTATATGCCACCATCAATACTAAAAATGGGGGAAAACACTTCTCTAAAAAAAAAAAAAAAATTATCTGTGTAACTGTAAGTACCTGAATTTATTCTGAATTTTGGAAGATGAGGTGAGAGGGGGAAAAGATTGGTGTTAATATCTTTCCTGTGACAGACTATCAGCTCTATGTGGAGAACTTACACTGTCATTTTTACTCTCAAATTGTGTAGCTTAGAAGTGCAACCACAAAACAGTTCGCTGATTTTGAAACCCAGCTTCAGCTGGGCTTTTCTATACCTTTCTCTTATTTGCAATTCATATATTTTTTATTCTCTTTGAAACAAATTATGGTCATTGCACATACATGGATAACTAGAAGCATTTCAGCTCCCTAGAATTAATCTGAGCCAATGAAGTTCTTTTCCCCTCTATCAGCAAAGGGCTGATATATGGGCTGGACATAGAAGCTGTTGAAATCCAGTGTTCTGTTCCTATCTCACTGCTGAACATCTCTAAAAATCAAATGCTCTTCTCAACTCTTATTGGATGTCATATCACACAAGTTTCATCTTCTTCTGCTGGTCTGAAACATACTAGTCTGACAACTTTTCTCTATGAAGAACTGTTTTCATTATACTCTTTGCAAAGTGCTTTGGAAAAAACACACAGTATATTTTAATTGTTAAATTTGCAGAATAGCAGTTGCCAGATACATCACAACAGCTTTTTAGACTGACTGTACTAAATGAATGAGGCTTGTAACAGCCAGTTATGCTAATTAAACTGTTTAGGAAAGGGAAAATACTAACATATTTACTTGGTGATGACTAAGGACATTCAAAATTGCAAAGCAAGGGAACTGTTATCTTAAAATTTTGTTAGAATTCAAGAACTTTTTAAAAAGTCTGTGAAATTATGTTTCAGAAATGCTAGTCCATATGCTGTTTTGAAACCAAAATATATAACTCATGTCAGGCAGCCTGGAGCATTTTCTGTCTCCTTCCTCTGCAGAAACAAGCCAAAAGTCCTCTTCTAATGGATTGAGCTCAGATTCTGAAGTATTCTCAGCTAAGGGCAGCAGATTAGAAACAAACTTTCATGTACAGTTCTGAATGTCATGTAATCATTACTTATTCCAAGTTTCACAGACTGTGACTAAATATGGACAGAGACAGAGCATGCATGAGCCTTCTTTGCTAGAAGAACTTCTAGAAAATAACAAAATTCAAGTATAAATCACTTACACTGACACAGAAATGAGATGGGTTACATCAGTGTCTGATAGGAAGAGTTTATAAGACCAGTTCACCCCTTTGGCCTACTTCAACTAAGAAAGAATACTCTAAGGATATTCTGTGGTTCTAGGATGAATCTTCTGGCCATGCAATCTTCTCTCTTATCTAGAAAAACCTTTTCACTCAGATCACAAGAGAGAAGAAATAACACCATAATGGGGTTTATGATGCAGTTTAATGAATTAATTGCAAAAGAAGAATGATCAGAAAAGGTTGTGAATTGCCCCATCTTGCAGAAGTAAATTGATCTTGACTGTGGGAATGTAAAAGTATTTCCTCTGCAACCAGCTGGAGGTGTCATAAAGTAAATGGTAGATGACATAAATTAATCTATGTTTTGCTTGATGATAACAGCAACAGAGTGTTAGATTTTTTCTTTTTTATTACCATGAAGGAAATATGCAAAGAGAAGATGAAGGTGGTGGGAGAAAGGTGGAGCTGAGATGTCTCAAAGATGAAGGCATATGCATGGCAGATATGTCACTGCATCTGTGGGAAGATTGTGCCTTTTTGAAGTGGCACTGGGAAGAAATGGAAATACACTACAACTACTGAAATAGCACTAGAAATGCATATGGGGAAATGACTCAAATTCAATGAATATAATCATAACAAAAAGTGCAGCAGCTCTTTTTTTTAAGCGTGAGAGTATTAAGCAGAATCTATGTTCGAATTAACATTTTCAGTGGCTAACCAATCAAATATATTGCAACTAGACCTCCAAGATTTTTTTTTTATTTCTGTAATTTATGACATAGTTGCCAAAAATCAACATAAAGATAAGGAACACAAGTAATGGAAGGAATGGAACTGTTTGAATGGAACTGTTTCCAACTGGACATAATTTATCTTAAGTTTACATTTGTAAAATCAGTTTAAAAAATATACAGGAATCTTAAGAGGACAATTTTTTTGCCTATGAATTTCAGCTGTAGACAAAATCAGAATAACTCACTTTTCAAACAAGGTATTTTGGCAAAGACACCATTGAAAAATATTACTCACATAATAAAGAAAAATTGTAATTGATTTTTATTTTAATTACTCTTTGGGACAAAAAAAAAGAGCAGTTAGGGAGCATCAGAGGCGAAAAGGCACCAGCCTTTAGAAGCTTTTTTAAATGCAAGGAATTTTTAGGTAGTCCTAAGCTAAAAAATAACAGTAACACAAAATTACTGGCAAATACATGTTCCTCTTAGCACTAACCTGCAAACAATGTAATAGCAGAGTGTTTGGGTAATGTGCTTTTGGTTCCCATTGTAAATTAATTTACAAAACATGATTAACAAAAAAGATCAAGGTCCATAACACTGGAGGTTAGGCAAGGAAAAGTTGTAAATACTAGGAAAACAGAGTTGAAAACCTTAAGAGTAACATAATCCAGGTGGACAAGACAACCTTTTTGAAAGTATATATTAACTAAAACAAATTTTTCAGAATGCAGCCTAAGGTATTATGCTAAATGGGAGTAGAATCATTGAATCTCATTTCAGAAAAAAATCTTAAGATCACCAAGACCACATATAAACCTAACATTTCCAAGTCTACCACTAAACCATGTTCTTAAGGAACTCATCCACTCATTTTTTAAATACCTCTAGGAAAAGTGATCCCACCACTTCAGTGGGCAGCTTCCTCGTGACTTCAGCTCCACCAGCTTTGGTGACCTTCTTTGGATACAGACCAGCACACAAGAAAGTGTCTTTCTTCTAGTGAGGGGTCCAAATCTGAGCATAGGATTCAAAGTCTGGCCTCAACATTGTCGAGTACAAAGGAGAATTAGAAAGAAGAATATTGTACTGCAATTTATCATCATATTAATATATTCATTTAGAGAATATTATACTGCCTATTGAGTCCTCTAATATTACTTTAGATATAAAATTTAGCATTTTTAATTTGTGTTTGTAACCTTAGAGGTATTCATTAAATGAAGAATTTTTGCATCAGCGAGTCTCTATATCATGATCCTTATTTACACTTGTGACTTGTCTTATTCAAGTGCAAATAATGAACAGAATCCATTCAGAATGTTAGATGTCTATATCATAAAGTCATTGAAGAGGAAATTTTCATGCAAGGTGAACTTTCCTAACTGAAAAGTTCCAACAAGATATTGAAACCAAGGAAATAGTTTTGCAACTCGTAGAGGT